CCAAATATACCCCTCGAAGATTTGCTCTCCTCCTCTTTTCTCAATCTAATAATTGCGTTTGCGGCATGTTGTGCTTTCTGTATGTGCCTTATTAAATCAAATACCTAAAATTACACTGAAGAAAATAATGCGCAGCAAAATTACTTTCTTTACCTCTTGTGCCGGTTGTGTTGTAAATAACGGTTTATAGCAAAAATTAGGACATTCTAACTCAACGATTTTCTGTTTTACTATATTTGACCATTTTCCTCCTATACCTCTATATGTAACAGAAGAATCTATAAATGAACCTGATAAGGAGGCGGCTCCCATATAAGAAAGATTATGCGAATGGTCCTTATTAAAAGATATATTTGGACTTGTATTTGTTGAACACCAACTTGAAGTCGGCGACAATGGGGGAACAGATGAAGGCCATCGCACGTGTGTAGGAGAATTGTTTATATTCTCTAACGCACTTTCTACTTCTCTCAGCATGTCCGCTAACATTGGTTGTCCCATAACCTTAAAATGAACCAAGTATCAAATAAAGTAATATAACTTTAAATTATATTTTTTGGCTTTATTTGGTACTTTTAGAAAAACAATATTGCCGTCAGTAACACGCTTATAAGCTAATTTAGAATAAAATTCAAAAACATAGCAAATTAGACCTATTTACGAAAATCACGGCACGTTGGAGTAATGCTTAAAAAGCACTTACACACATATGTACTTACGATTAGCCTAGGAGGATTTAGCGCATGAGCGCCAAAATTACTCGGACGCTTTTTTTTGTTAGAATCCTTTAAACATATGCCAAACAATACACATAGTTCGTGAGACAAAGCCCCTATTTTTAAATGATTAATACATACTTAAAACTTCGTGAGTGGCTTTCTTTTTGGCGAATCTATCACACTTTTTCTCTACGACTTTTTTCGAAACTTCTGTTTTTTCAAATGAGCGTGATCAAAATATGCCGAATACGTGAGTTTTACTTATTTCATGAATACATATTTAGTTTTAATGTATTCCCAAGATAATTTAATAAGATTGTGCAGGTGCAAATGATAAAATGACAGAGCCCTTTGTCTTCCGTACTAATAAATAGGTAAATGCTATTTAACATGAGCTAATACGGTCCCATATTGTTTAAACAAATGCTAAAAATGTTAATTTTTAAACAGAACATATTTTTATGTTTTTAATGATGTTGATATTTTTGAAAACCCGAATTCTTATTTTGACATTTTGACGAATTTTAACTGCTTATAAAGTCATAAAAATAACTGATGTGATCTTAAACAATGTTTTATGTTCTTTATAAATGATTTATGGCGCTTATTTTTTACTTGTAGACTGTTTTTGGAAAATGATCTTGTTCCAGAATCCTCCATAGTAACAAAATCTATTATTAATAACTATACTTCACTTAAAAATACGTTTTTTAATCACTTAAATTATTAAATACAAATAAATTAGAAGTTTATTATGTATTTATTTATTTTGGCTACGAATTGCCATGCCAACAAACACAGATGACACCCTGGCGTTAGTTCATAAAATTTGGAGTTGATGATCCTACCGTAATGACAAATTTAAAAATTTTCAAGTCAAATCAACTTTACCCAACATTATAGGAAATTTTCGAAAATGTAAAAATGTTTAACGAATTTGAATACTGAACGATACGAAAAAGTCTAAACGTTTAAAATACAATATTCCTATTTTATATTGCGCTTTTCTTAATTGTTTTTGTATAAGCCACTTAAAACATTCCTGAAAAAACTTGTGTTATTTATTAACTTCAAACATGAATATTCTTAAAAATATTAATATTAGCCTCTTAAAAAAATTGCATAAACTTGACGTAAATTTATTTTAGCAAAAACTTTCTTTTTTAGTATATTTTTATACCTTATTGTTAAATAAAAGCTTTTTTTAAAAAATATATTTTTATTATGTAATTTTATTTTCTACGTTTGTCTTTTGAAATTTATGGTTACATTTGGCGACCTTTGTCTTGCCTATGGATCACACCACCCGCCATGACTAGTTCTTTAACAAGTCTACTCAATAGGTCAAAACTATGTTGGTTTGTTTATTTGCCATCATTATGTGTAATTACTAAAATAATAAAGTGTAATAAAAGTTTCTGACAACCGAACCAAATAAATGTGTTAAAAATCCATTCTGACATAGTACATTTTAACTAGCGCTGTCTGGCACAGGATAGAGAAGGTGGAAATCTAAGAATTTCACCCCAACACCTCAGAGATGAGACGTTCCATTAAAAGATCAGGAGTATTGGGAAGATTTTAAAACGTGAGTACAATTGCTGTCGGTATCTCTTGCTTTTATATTGGCATGGCATCTCTCAACGAATTTTTAAAATTAATCAAAGCTTTCGGTGAAGTAATCGCTCCATTTGATGGTTCTTCCGAGAAAGTAAATAGGTTCATTTCGGATTGTGATAATTTTGACGCTGACTCTACCACAACTCTGGTCTACAGAAATTTAAAATTTCGACACACAGTTAGCAAATTAACAGGCAGAGTAGAATCTGCATATTTGGTAGAAAGGTCAAGTGATTGGTCTACTCTAAAAGCTTTAATTACTATACAATTCAAATCTCCAAAAAATACCAATTTGTTATTTAATCAACTAACTTCCTGTGTTAGAAAACCTAATGAATCTGTGGAAGATTTTTACGATAAAATTCAGGTTATTTTAACAAAATTGGAAGGTATTTTTGAAGGTGATCAATTCAAAACGCATTAATGAGTCACTATAAGAAATAGGCACTTAGTATTTTTAAATTATTTGTTGGGGAACCCTATTATTCAGATTTAAAAATAAGAAGGCCAATTNGCCAAAATATTTTCCACAATAAAAGGTAAATATTCCTTATCCGCTAGCTTTGAAGGTCGTGATAATCCATCTGCATCATGTTGCTTAGTTAAACCCCTAAAACATTTACTAAATGAATATTGGATTCTATAACTGACATTTGACTTACATCAATTCTAATTGCTCGTTTCCTGGATATCTCCACGGTTGAATAAAACTTAGCCACAATTCCAATACAAGTCTGAAGGAGTCGTCTAAAGGCCATCGATAAATTAAATTGCGTAGAAAAATATACATTTTGCCTTGCATATATGGAACAGCAATTTTTTTCAATTCGTTCATATAAGTATCATCTATTTTTGCACTTGATGAAAACGCGTGCAATTTTTTAACGAGTACCCTGACTATTCTAATATACTCAGCACTAGGAAGATCATGAAAATGGAACTGTTGCTAAAAATTTATAGAATAGAAATTTGTACATTTTATTCCAATAGGTTCAGAATTTCAAAAGGTAAAATCATTAAAACTCTTCAAATTGTTTGCACTAACGTTTTTATTATAGAACAACTCAACAATTGTTTCAGTCGAAAATCATTATCAAGAGTATTAATGATAGCTGAGAATTTTACTAATAAATGTTGTTTTATTCCGATTTTTTGTACCTTATTAGGTAAGAAAATTTGCTCATACTGTATTACTTGGTCATTATTAAGCCACATATCGACAAATACAATCAATACAGTTTCACTCCTCCAAATGTGACTTCGTGGATGTTCTTCAGCAGAATGACTTAGAGCATTAATCTCATTCACCGCATCAGCAAGAACATTTGGTCTGAACAATTTTGAAATTCGAACGGGTCTACAATTAAAAATTGTTACTTAAATGTATAAAAAATGAAATGCGCAAATTATATCTATTTTGCTTTCTCCTAAGACGATAAAAAATATTGTTGCAATTAAAAATCTTACAAATAGCGTTAATTTAAAGTTAACAAAAACCCTTATAAGCGCTACCAGTATCTACTCCGAAAGGAGAATGATTATTTCAGGTCTTGCTGAGGCTGGACCTATCGGAAACTACACATCGCACATGCAGTCTACCACGAACCTTCTTCACTAGCGAGCCTTACTGACGGTAAGGCCTCTCTCAGGTTAAGCCTAGGAAAGACCTGAAATAACCGTTATTCTTCCTTCGAGGTAGAAAACGGAATATGAATAAAGTTTGTGCCTTCGGCTTGACCTATCGAAGAGGTATTTATAATCTACCGGCACCTCCAAGCGTACTGTGACCTAATCTGAAAGAAAATACTTTAAATATACGTTAAAAAGGCAAGCAAACAACGAATCCTTAATTCTGAACTTAACTGATGCTGTTCTAATTCGGGTCGAAAGGCCGACGTCGATTGGAGTTGTTTTCTAATGTTTCGCTAGCACGAGGGGCGATTCTTCAATCCTATCAGTTTACATCGGAAATGGAAGAACCTCTGAAGAAGCTCGCCACTCGTGTTAGAGGAACGTTAAAAAGCAAATCCAACCAACGACGGTCTCTAGACCCGAATCAGAACACCATCAGTTCACCTACTAGCTGACCTCAAAAGCCTTTACCAATCTGTCCAAAAGCCTTTACCAATCTGTCCAAATTAAACATTTTTATTGATTAAAATTTAAAACGAAAGAGATCAAACCCCACGAACTTCAACAGTTTATGTAAACATAAGAAAAAATATAAATGAAACAAAAGATAATATCTAATCAAAACTTATAATATGATTACAGATAATAAACCAGGTGGTCTAAACTAATCAACATATTTCCTTAACAGACAAAACATTTAAACACACCTACACTTCTTTTTTTCTAACAAAATAAACTTTGAGAACAAATATTAACTTATGAAAGACCCGCTATAAATATTTATATGGATTCGAAGGCCTTTAATAGAAGTTTAGCAGATTCACCTTTTGACCTCTAAACTGCCTTTTTAGAAAATACCACAAACGCCATCTGTAGTACGATGCTACATTTTAGGATTACGTATGCTCCAACAAGGTCCATTTAAATATATGGATATCTACTTGCTGAAACGAATCCCGGCGTAGCTAACTTCAACGTGATAGGCAGGTTACCATAATCGAACAAAATAATTCGAAGTGGTCTGTATTCTGTCGAAACTGCTAGACGCGGATCGCGATTTAGATCTTTATGGATCTCATCAGCGCGTCGCAGTAGCAGTTTCGGCAGAATACAGACCACTTCGAATTATTTTATTCGATTATGGTAGCGCTGATGAGATCCAAAAAGATCGAAATCGCGATCCGCGTCTGGCAGTTTCGACAGAATACAGACCACTTCGAATTATTTTACTCGAAACTGCCTTATAATGTTTAAAAAAATTGTTGATCCTCTCTAACTGTCCCTTTGAAACAACTGGCCAAATCTTCGGAAGCCTACATACCAAATCCAATTCCGGCTTTTCCTTCCTGCGATCTCCTACCGCCCTGTTTGCGAATACTATATACAACCACTGCTAATTTGTTTGATTGCACCATCGCTGTTGTACCTTACGACAATCTTTTGTGGTTTTTTATTGCAAATAATACCGATTTATACGCCAGTTTTCCTAATCCGTCTTCCATTTACCAGCGCAGTTCATCTCATTCAATTGGAATTGGAGTTTGACTCTTCTCGAATATTACTCTATCCATGTCTACTTTCTACTTGTCACTAATTGTTAGGTCCCGATCTATCACCTTCTTTTTCTCTGACAGTCCCGTCCAATTCTACTCTGTATTCCACACAATTCCTAAGAACTCTAATTCCTTTGATGAAATTTCTCGGTTTAGTTTCTAATTTAATTTTTTATAATAGAAATCGTATCTGATAATTATTCTTGAAGGATGACCGAGTTCTGGTGAGCGAATAAAAAGTCGTCTAAGTATACTAACACTTTTGTGCATTTCTGACAAAATACACCTGCCACCTTGGAGAAGACCAGGGGTACCGTTGATAGACCAAAAGATAAGCACATCATATTTTAAACTTATTGTTGTTCCCCAGACAAAAGTATCTCCGGTGACTCCTTTTTACAGGAACATGAAAATATGCCAGCGAGAAATCTATCTTGCCCAAATAGTCGTACCCCTGCAGAAATCTTGAAACCTCTCCATGACTTATTAACTTGAATTTCTTTGGTTCTAGATACTCGCTGAGTTGACATAACTTAAAGATCTGACTTTTTGTATCAAGATCATTGGAGGTCGGTCTTCACTTTTCTTCAACACTTTTAAACGTCGCAATTCCTCCAATTCTCTTGACAGTTGCTCTCATTCTTTCATGTCATTTTTTCGAAGTATCTACTTCCTCAAACGAATCGTTGACAGTTTCTGTATAAATGGAATCATGTAGCCTTTTAACATGCCGATTATACGGTCTTGAGCACCCAGACTCTACCACAATAGCACACAGTGCTGTAGTTGTCCAACTTGAAGGTGATAGTCACAATTTTTCCGACAACACACACACACTTAAAAGCCGCTTTGTTTCTTGAATTTTGTTCAATACGAATTAAAAAGATTGTTCAAGCAATTTTTGGAACTATGACATAGTGCTGCAAACGTTATGGACGACGAGAAAATACCGTGTGCAGTCCGCCCTGTTGATCAATAAAGTTTGTCAGGTCTTTCTCTTCAAATAAATGCAATCTTTATAAGCATCTTTGTATCTGTAATTTATAAATACGCTACCCATACAACATGTTTTGAAAACAAAAGAGGCGGACTTCCGCTGCGGCATTAGGTCGGATTTGCATAAAAGGAGATTGACGATAGTTGCGCGAATAGAAAGGATAAACAATAACGTGAGCAAGACAGAAACAGTTTGAACGAGATATAATATGATTTAAATTAGAATTTTATCGTACCCATCCAGGTAAAGGGAGGGGGCATATCTCTAACCGCTTGAAATGAGTTGTAATCTCCGTCAGGTCAAGCCCAAAGGCACACACATCAAATATCAAAATAAGTATTAGAGTAATAATGAGTTATACAAAGATAAAGTAATAAAGGTCGGGAGCAACTAACTGGAAACATTTAGGGGTAGCGCAGTGATTCTAATAGTAAGAATTTTTGTAATAATTCAGTAACCGCAAATGAAAGAAAAATGCCTTTTTGTGGGCAAGTTTATGTTAACAACTCGAATAGACGCCTTCTAGAGCAAAATTCTATTAAACTTTTTGGTTTAACTGTTAATTTCCCATTAGATAATGCAAGTAAGATTAAAAAATGTTCACTTGTTCATTAAAAGATTATGAGAAACTCTGAAAAAATGTACCGATTATTCAATGCACTGAGAATCTATCAAGGAAATGCGAGTCAAGTCCTTCAATATATACTTTACCTACTCTCGCACTTGTGTACTAGTTTTTGTACAATTCAATTTACTCTTACAGAAAATACCGTTCTATGTATTCATTTACTTGTAACCTCTTGTTTGTATGCCGATGTATGTATTTACTTATCTTGTGCTCTTGCGTCAAAAGAACATATCGATCCTTCTAATTGTATACACCATATCTGGTCAGTATTCCGGAATATTTGAAGGGTAATATCTGAAGGCACTATAGAATGAATCTCGTCATAATACCACAACGCAGCGGATGTAAAGTGTGCACAAAAAGTACCCTAGTTAACCAGCCGTCAATGATTGAGAACAGTTACCACGTTATCTTGTCGGCTTTCGACGAAACACACATACCTATTCGTGACCTTAACAAACAATTGATATGCAGACAACTAATTGTATGTAACGATTGGTAATAAACTGCCCTTATTAGCGTTAGCGATTGGCAAAGTATTAACAAAATACAAAAATAAGCTAAATGTGGAAAAATCAAGCAAAACCCCATGTATTCAAATGCAAAATATGAGAACATGGTGGTCACATATGGCGTAAATGTAATAGAAATGCACCTTGAACCATATTGAACATAGTTTACGGTATATTTAGAGGTTTTTATAAAGAGGTTATCGAAGGTGAAAGACTCCTCAACACCTTTATTACAATTTGAGAGGCCTGTTTTTTCACCACATTTTGGGCCACTTTTAGGTAAGAAATAGCCATAATTGATGTTTTAACCCGTGGTTACTGATTCCCATGGATAATTTCTGTGATCTCACATTAATTTGGTAGCAGTCAGTCTCATTTATGTTTTCCTCTATTTATAAAGCCAACGGTGTCGCAGGTATTGTTTTTTCTCTTTCATCTTAGAGTGTACAATTGTGCTTACGTAAAATTTTGTAATGTAGTAGTTTAATTGATTTTGGTATTTTCAATTTGTACTTTTTATATGACAACTTCGAGCTCTCATTTTAAATCAGGGAAGTCCAGGAACACTGGCTAAATTTAAGTTATATTAAATCAATTGAAGGTGGTAAGGTAGACATATCAGAATTGAAGATACGATTAGCAAAAAATGAACCTTTGTTAAAGGAATTTAAAGATATAAATGTCGAGATGTTTTCATTTAATCACAAGAGAATTGGATCAGTAACAGAAATTGTTTGAACATACTTATTTTAATACTGTGGCTTCGGCTTAAATATTAATTTCAAAAACCAATGCTGTGCCAATGCATAATAAACCGGATGTACAGCATCCAACATCCAATCCAAATCTATTGTTGTTTTATGATACCTTTAACTCTTTTATTCGTGAAAATAAAGAATTATCACACACAAAAATTTCATTACTTATTTAAAATTGTCACTATCGAGTAATGCATCACATGTAATTGATTATTTAAGTGCTTCTTCTGATAACTATAATGCTGCGTGAGAAACTGTTTGATTTACCTTAATGTTA